AAACCAATCGGCGAACTATGAACTTTCAACAGCACAGAATGCGTCCGGACATGTAATTTGTTAGACCTCTCAGACAGCTCCACTAGAAGCCTTATCTCCGGCAAGCCGCTCCCAGCTGCTCGCGGTCGGAACTGCTGTGTTGGTGAGCAGCTGACAGCGACTCGGGCACATTCCTTTACGACGAATTCGACATCAGGTTGTTTAACTTTTTCGACAATTAAAACAAAAAAAAAGGTCTCTTTTATCGGGATTCCACTCATTAGATAAAGAACTATCGAAATAGTTTCTTCAGTTGTTTTGATTAAAGGGCCAATTTAGGGATGTTTTCGCCACTCTTAGATTTAGTACAAAAAATGGGCCTCGGCAAAGTGGGTATACCCTCTAGGGAGATGAAGAGTTAAACAAGTATGTGTGTCACACCTCCACCGGCACGAATTAGATAATTTAGTAGGCGGGCTTCGGATCCTGTCTTTGGTTTTTAAAGTGTTAGTAACGTTTTTACGGAGCTCGCAACTGCGTAAGGTCATAGGAGCGCCAATGCTCCTGTCTGTCAAGGTCAACTCGAGCTATGAGGGATGCAACATGCCAGTAGAAAGAGCGAGATATTTGAAAAAAACAATTCTCCCAATTCGGTAATCGGGCTCGGGTCTCCTGTGTGCCACAGCGAAGTGCCTAACCGCTGCACCACGGTCAAGGCTATCACGGAGTTGAGTGACGAGGCAGATCGGGTGTCTCCACGTCTCCCTAGGAATCGATATCTTCTCAAAGGAGTAGACATCAAGATTATAATATGATAAATAAGATCGAAAGATTTTTTTTTTATGTCGTTGCACAATACAACAGAAAAGATGAAGGTTTTAGGGGGGGGGGGGGCAATCGTAAAAAACCGAGCTCAGGCACGCTATTCTTTGTTTGAAAGCTTTTCAAAAATCCATCTGCTCAGTTTGGAATTCCAAAAGCCATAAACCATCTCAAAATAGTCTTTAACTCTTACAACACAAGTCGTAAGCTTATTATACGTTTTGTTGAAGCAAGTTCGATGAAGAAAACATACTGCTTCGTAAACAGCTTTATCTCAAAATGGACACCTAAATTTCAAGACACAAGCTGGTATCACCTACCAACTTGCTCCAAAAAAAGAGAAGATTTGATATTTGAAAATAAAGCATGAGGAAAGGCGAGAGGCATTTAATGTTTCGTCTAATCAGAAGACTTGCCCCAAAATAAACAAAGGATCATATACAAACGTGTAGAGGAAACAAAGGTGATGCCTCT